AGCAGCTAATCTAGCTGATGTCTTAAAACACAATATAGTGACTATTTGTCCGTTTACATCATTCTGACATTTATAATCCGTTTCACCTGCAGACACTTAGCGCATTGTATCTTCGGAACAATCAGATACGAGACAAAGGTGTGCAACAACTTTCAGATGCCTTATGTGTTAACATAGTGATTTATATTTTCCACTGATATCTCTCATTTTCTTTTTCCTTCCATGTTCAGACACTTAAGGAGCTGTATCTGCGTTCGAATCAAATCGAAGACGATGGTGCGCTGTATCTCGCGGATACCTTAAATAGTAATAAGGTAACTTGTCTCGTCATTTTCTCGATTTATTTATATTTATCAACTTTTTTATAAATAGGTTTTAGAGATAATCGATCTATCCAGAAATAACATTTCGGAAGAAATTAGGAACAGATTAATAGTTATGAACAGAACAAAAGTTTAAAATTAATCGTATATATAGTGGTAAACAAAATTATTCAAGAAGCAACCGCAATTACTTCTTTCCCTATATCTTCTACACAAGAAAAGCTACAGAACTTAAACTTTCACCCACTTGTTGTTAGTGCTTTCTGGTATATCTATCATGCATTTTAGTTCAATCACTAATCCATGTTATTAAATCTATTCTTTCGAAATTCGTGGTTTTCTTTAAAACCAGACACGATTCTTGTCTGAAAAACAATGGTTCTAACTTTCTGCGAGAATCATATAGACAGAATTTTGTCTGAAGAGGCAACAATGATGTAACCAAGGATGTGGATATGTATTGGGTGTGAGGGTCGATGTCTGTGCGGGGTAAGAAGGAACATGAGACTGACAGACACACTAACATACCGACACCCACATCCATTACCCTCGATTTAGCCTTAGCAAGGCTTGAAATCCATGTTAGTTTTTTTTTTTTGACTATACAATCAACAGAAATTAGAAGGATGATTCTTTTATATCCAGTTTGGGTATCAAACAATTTTACATAAAAGAGATCAGAATCGTTTTCCAATTTTGGCCTTGAAAAAGTACAAACGATGTTGGTATCCTCTTGAAATCTCAGAAGGCACATAATAGGAGAAATTTTTTCTGTTGAAATGAAGCCAAACACCTATGGCTGTTTATTTCTCCAATTGTAACTCACAAAGGATGCTACGAAATAATCCTATGTTTTCGTACATTCAATTTCGAACTGTTTATTTAAAATCGAACTCATTAATTCTGCATACTTCTCTTAATTCGGTTAGATCTTGAATCATAAAACGAATAGGTGGTGATGTTTTTTATTCTTTAACAATAATATCTAATTCACGATAATGATTCTCGTGATTGGATTTATTTGCCGGCTAAACGACAAACAATAAAATGATTAATGAAGACAAAACAGTCGAAATAATCAACAGACTTTTGTATTTGCTTCAGCATCAAGTACGTGTAAGAAGCGATACGAAGATAAAAGTGCTGCCCCATAATTATAGACGCCCTTTTTGTTTTTCATCTTTTTCTTTATCGATTTATTTCATAAAAATGTTTCTATACACAAAACTAATTAGATACTTATGAATTACAAGGAAAAACTTTACAATTAATAACTTGTCGAAGTCGTTCTGGTAATGTCTCAGAAGGTTTTCGTTTTGTATCGTTTGAAATGTCGCATCACACTGTTTATAATGCATTTTTGAGTTCATCAACGTTATTGATTTTGAATTTTAATAATTTATTATCAATGATGGACCACATATTCTCAATAACATTCAAATCCGAACTATTAGCCAGCCAAGTAATTCGTGTAATACATTTTTTCTTCAAGTATTCTTCCGTCATAGTCGATACATGTGGATGCACATTGTTCTGTTGATATAAAATTTTCCGTAATTGTTCAGCTGGAAATTTTTTCAATACTGTTAGTAAATGGGTTTCGAGCATACTAATGTATGGGTGTGGGTGTGGAGCACTAGCACAATTCGTCGCATATAAACGAGGGGATATATTGATTGAATTAAGTGATTTAGTCTAGTGTGTTGTTTAATTAATCACCCTAAAAATGTTTTCCATTAGAGTCTAATGACTCTTGATAATAGTTTTTCTCACAAAAAATGATAGGGGTGTCAATTTACAATTTATTTAACCTAAACTTGATTGAAAGGTTTTCTCAAAAGATAATTCTAACAATTGTCTAAATAATTCCATGAAAGAAACTTCTCAGAGAATCGAATCAGCGTCGAAATCATTTTTATATACAACTATTCTAGATTGCTAGATGTATTCTTTTAAAGAGAGCTAAAAAACTACTTTCAGATAACTTTATAAGATTCCTGTGATCAATCTTTCTGAAGAACAAATGTAAATCATCGATCATTCTACGTCACTCTATCAATTAGTATAGAAAAGATCGTATGGGCATATCACTCTGGTCAAAACCATAACAGAATATTGTATTTCAATTTTTAAATAAATTCAAAATCGAATTTACTTTATAATTGACTTCAACATATCATTATATCAAAGTATGCGATGAATATTTGTAACCAAGTCTTAAAACGCTTAAAACTACTTTATTCAGGTAAACTTACATTGTGCTAACAAAAAAGTATTCTTTTAATTGACAAACTACAGAATGGAATATTTAAGTGTGACAAAAAGAAACAACATCAAATCGCAAAACAAATTTATATGTTAAATTTTCAAGGAGTATAGTGCTTGCTTACCATGTATATTTTTTCAAATTATCGTTGAGAGGAATTTTTTCTTTGAATTTTAAAGAGCATTATTCGGGCTATTTTGTGAAAAAATATTAAAATAAATGCTTTAGAAACCAAAAGCGTCTTTCTTTTGTTCAGGTTCAGCAGAAACTAAAATACGAAGGTAGTTACAGTTACTCTAGCATTTTTAAAAGAATCGTTTTATTGTAGAAAATTCTTTCTAATCAACGTTTTTCAAATAAGTTCAAAATTAAGTTTTCAAGGTGAACTTTTGAAAAATCTATTAAACTTGTGATCCTCAATGGATCTGCATGTGTTAGTCGTTCAGTTATAAATGAAATTCTCACTTTAAAAGTCAATTGAATGCAAAAATAACGCTCCAAAATAATATTTCTAATCATTAAGTTTTTGATTTGATCAAACAAAGGATAATTCTTTGAAAAATTCAATTTCATTGTTAGCTATTGTAACATAATACCTTGTCATTTTCATTTTAATGATAGTATCTATTAATGTAACAAAATAAACTTTCTTATTTAATGTCTTAATAGAATTTAGTAAAATAGAATAAATCTGATTTGATAAGACATTTTACAAATATTCAAGATACACTTTTCAATTTTATTATTAAATATATCGTTTTCATAGAATCTATTAGTATGCAACAGACCTACACACGTGAACCTCCATATTCAAACCCGAAGAAAAACTATCATGATATCCTGATCAACAATTTTAAAAAGTACAATTTTTTAACAAGCAAAAGATAAAACACGAATATCTGTTGATAAGAATTCATATCAAAATTTTAGATTTCAAGGACAACACTAAACCAAACTATCTATCGTATTATGCAACATGTTCCAGTTTTTGATAGAAAAATAATTTATTCGATCGCATTTCGATACGTAGATTAGGTGAAACGTTTTTTTTGTAGTTATCGACAATCTATATAAAGCTACATAGATTGATTGAAAAAAAACTCCAAAAGAAAGGTAACCAATAATAAAATGAAAAATCATCTATCTATTTATGAGCGAATACAAATAGACGAAATAGAAAAATAGAAGCAATTTCCGTGTAAAACATTATAAAGGAAACAACAGTTCAATAAAATTAGCCTCTTATTTTATCAATGAATAGATCTTATTAGTCAAATAAAAAGACAGTTTTTAAATCTCGTACAAATTTGTATATAAAACGTCGATCAGATCGGCTTGACGTTTTGATTTATTTGACAATGGCTTTCATTCAATCTTTTATAATACTTGAGCTCTAATGAAGATAAACGTAAGAAAATAAGAAACACCTCGTGTTATATTTTTATGCACCAGAGACGGCTCATACAATGATTCTTTTTTTTCTTTTGAAGAAATTTTTCTACATGAAACTAAAACATAAAATCGTAGACATTAAAACGCAGGTAATTAGGTTGAATGAAATTTTTCCTGAAAGACTAGTGGAGTAAAGAAAATTGAGAATACTATATAGATATATATAAACGTAAACAGATGTCTGTTGATTATTCCTAATTGTTCGAAAAACAGAATGATTCTATGTTCTTATTGCTGTCAACAACTGTGTATAAAATAGAATTTTCTATCGCCAATTATTTTCCTAGTTACATTAATTATATTTACATAATAAAATTGTTCTTAATAAGATTTTAGCTGTCATTTTCAGATCATAATTGTGAAAATACATTCACAGGACACAAAGTCTGGTTTTAATTCATAGTTCATATTCTTCATCAGCATTTTCAAATTGATACCGACAGATTAAAAAGTCATATCTTGATACTGTTTATTTTATTAGTTAAATACAAAAAAAGATGTTTTATAAGAATTAAGAGACGGTCCGTAGCTGAACCAAGCATTTTAAATAAAGGTTGTCATCCGAAAAATTTTGACATATCTTTCTTATTATTCAAAATGAAAGAGCATGTAAAAAAAAAACCTATAAATCCAAAATTTTAATGTTTTCTGCAGAGAACGTTAAAATTTTGGATTTATAGGTTTTTTTGCATGCTCTTTCATTTCGAATAATAAAAAAAATATGGCAAAATTTTTCGTAGGACACCACTTCTCGATCGAGCCATGAACTGTCTCTTAATACATATACAGCAATTCTATGCTCTTCATATCATAGAATTGAATGTATTCATGGACGGCAATCAGAACTTGCTAGTAATAATCAATCGATTTTAATTAGTTTATCTAATAGTTTATGTTGATTTGATCGAAATTAAAATCTTATTTAAAAAATTTCATGGAACTTTGAATGTATATATAATATGTGTTGGTCATCAACATTATCTCATTTTATTGTTATAACAAATAAGAAAAAAATTTATCGGATTAATGAAACAACTTTATCAATTGAACGTATTTATGGAATTGAAGAGAAAGATTGGTTATCTTGTACATGCTCTGATACATATCTTTATTTAACAACATGTAAAACAGGTTCAAATCTATTTCAATTTAAACTTTTACCATTAATTCGACCAGTTAAACAATGGCAACCTCCATATTCTTGTAAATTACATGAATCTATTCATGCTATTGAATATAATAATAGAACACTTGCTTTAATAATAAGAGAATCTTTTGGAGGTATGGTTAATATTGAACTTCGATCATCATCAACACTCAATCGACTTTGGTCACTTCCACTTGATATTAGAAGTTCTGGATTATGGTCTAGAATTAGTTGTTGTTCACTTCAATATGATGAATGGCTTGTAGTACATACGACTACTTCACGTCTTTTTCATATTAGTAAAGATGGAATATTGAAAATCATCCTTGAATGTCATCAAAAACTAAATAATGCTATTATGTTTGGTTCAAATAAATGAGTTATACATTTATGAACAAAAGTTAATTTTCACCAATTATAGGAAAATATTAATTCTATTTTATATTATATTTGTTTTTGTATTTTATACTTAATAAATATTTAAAATTAATTTCATATCATACGTATAATTTCTAGTATATTTTCTGGGAACTTTTCTTCTTTATATTTTTTAATAGAAAAATTTCTTTTGGTTTTCTATTTGTAGATTTGATGTATGAAAGAAAAATTTAATTTTGTTTAGACAAATTAGTCTTCATTATTTATAATTTTTCCAAGTTAATTAATCAGGTTTTTTTTGTGTTGGAACAAACAACCGCGATGACATTATTTAACACAAAAGTAAGAATCTCCGACTTTTCCGATCATTAACATCAGCATTCTCTTGCTGAATTAAAATGTTAATGAGAAGAAAAGTAAGTCAAAGACGTTTCATCAGTAATGTATTTTAATTATGCATTGGAAGGATATCTTTCCAACTCAGCGAAACGTTCTTAATTAGCTCTTTTCAAAAGCAGACTTTTTCCTTTTTAATCAACATTAATAATTTTTTCTTTTCATCGACGCAGTTTCAGAATTTTACTGATGAAATTTTGTCTTGCAAACGAAGAAATAAATTCAACAGTCATGACATCATCTGACACTTTTAAAAGGAATATTATCATCAGTAGAGAGATCTGAAAGTAGCTTTCGATTAGCAGGCATGAATGTAAGTGTAGGAATTGAGCTTCTCTACTGCCATACACACCCGGATAGATAGGTTGGCGTCGCCGACGCAATACAAATATTGCCACGTCAAGTCCAAATCCATATTTAGTGATTGATGAAAAAAAGAAAGACTATGCGTTCAACATGGTTACGATAAAACAACTTGACGATCTTATGAACAAGGCTCCAGGAAATATAAAAATTTATGTTTTGGAATCAACAAACTCGTGACTTAATGAAGCGATATGAAGATTGTTTGTCATTAGCTCAATATTCTAATAAGATAAGTAAAACAATCGGTAAAAAATTACATAAAAATTTTGTTAGCAGTATCTTATGATCTATTGAATTATGTTCTCTTTATCTATTATCCCAATAACTTTCTCTAATAAAAAGTGTTAGTGAAAAGCGAAAAAATAACGTCGATGAAGTAGAAAAGTTAATTCATTAGTCTTAAATTTTCGATGCAATAAGACTAAAATTCATTGTTCAATAACGCGAATTATTAAAAGATATTCACTTACAACACATGAGTACAAAAGGTTAACGAGGAAACTAGTCCAGTGAGAATAGAAAAGTCTGAAAGAATTCATCTTCGTGGGCCTTAGGTGCCGATTTATGATGAATTTAGCAGTTCTTCGATTCATGTTTAGATAATTGTCAAAAAATCAAATGACAGAATTTTCATCTAAAATTCCCTCTATAGATAAATCTAATGATTCTTAGACACACATGTTACAAAAGTTGAGTTCATTTGAAAATTCAATAACTCGACGAAAAAACATTCTCTTCGACTGAAACTTTCAGGATATATTCTAAGAATGATTAGACCTATATATAGGCAAAATTTTGGATCAAAACTTCGTTATTCAGTCTCCTGAGAGGCATCTAAAAATGGGTTAAAAATCCAATGAATCGATCATAAGTTGGTGCCACAGCCAATGCGGACGAGTTCTCTTAGGCTTTTACTATTCTCACTAAGATTTGCCTGTGAGTTTAATATGAACGCAAATGGTAGATGTCACTTAGTGTATCTTTCTTGTAAGAATAAAATCAATCATTTTGTTTAGTATTACTATAATCGAAATATATTAACTGTTTGGGGGCAGAACCCGCATATATACGGTTTCGAAATTTGACGAAATGAAGAAATTCTTAGATACACTAAAATTGGAATTTTTATTATGGATTTCATTCCAACATACATGCCAAACGTATAGACATTATAGAGTAGCCTAGATAGAGTAAACATATGTAGTTTGTCATCGTTCATCGCATATTTGCTTTATAAAGCCAATACCGGAAAAAACTAAAATTTGTTGATTCTCATTTCTAACTTATTCGTAAAATCTTGGAAACTTGTAGTGCTCCAAAATCTACAAAAGGACATCCTCTATTAACTTATCAATCAACTAGACTTACTGCTAGGATATTTTCTATCTCTTGTTCCTCACACAACAAATAGAAATACTCTTCAGAAAGTTTGTGTTGCATGTGGGCACAGTAGTTGAAGAAAGAGAATTAATCCACACTATATTATCATGCTAAGATTGTAATGTAGGTTTTTATGTTGTTAATGGTTTTGAGAAGTTTTACTTTCTCGCATTAACTTTTCTTCTCATTTGTTATTGAATTGTTGTTTGTTACACTTCTTAGGTTCCGTTTCAAATCACTTGTTGATACATTATTTTTTCGACAATATATTTATATTATATATATTTCACGTCTTTTTCTATTATATTATTTTTGTTATTCTGGCTTCACTTCTTTAGAATGTTAACATAGAAACCATTGAGAATAATGATAAGGACAATTTTTTCTAATAGTGATAATCAATTATCTTGTATACTTTTATTAATGTCTATTGGTATTATATTATTTTTGCTATGCCATATTGTATGAATCAATTGTGTTATATTATGATTTCTCATGGTAATGATTAACAATTATCTTTGACAGAATAGTCTAAAAGCTGCTTAACTGAAGAAGAAAATCGAATATGTTCGTCATGTTTTGATCAAATGAAATAATGTTTTTACGATTAACGAAGAAATGTTCATAACTCATATTCATACGAAACATATTTAATAAAAGTATTTTGAAGTA